ATCTTAACTCGCCGAGTTCGGGCCATTGTTCATGTGTCGAGGGGCTGATAAATATATTATGTGTCCCTAAAAGCGTAAGAAATCCAGAGATTTGTAAAGTTTCCCCTTTTATGACGGGTGAAGCGCTCTTCCAATGTTTTCCGCTTCAACGATATGAAAAACTTTATACTCCTTTCATTCATCACATTCACAACCGTATTGTTTTATGTTTAAAATCTAAATTACTCTGCATTCGATTGGAAATGGAAAAATTCATTTGCAATGTTAGTCAACAGACAGTTTAACATATCTTGGTTTATGACTGCGCATCGAATAACGGGAAATAACTATTTATGCGGCTCTTAAAACATTTTAGATTTGTTTTATTTAACTTGAGCAACTGTTGTTTAACTCTTTTAATAATTTTTGGTGCTCTTTTAAAAATCAAATCGTGAATACTACTTGATATTTTTTTGTCTAAACAAAATTTATACGGGTTATCTTCACCTTAATAACACAAAGAAACATTCGTAAATGTGGTTAAAGTGTAAACAAATTATCACAGTTAAATAAAACATAACACACAAATTATGCACTTAGCTAGTCGTTAGCTAATTGTATAATTTGGTACTCTAAAAGAGTTAGATCAAAATTTAGATACGTATCACCCTAGTAGGGTAAACGCACCAGTCGTCGACAATTCATTCTAATGACTCACGACGCCCCCTGGTGTTGGCCGTGGAAAAACTGCCTGCCATCGTTCGGAAAACGGTAATTTTTCACGTCGCAGCCGCGATAACATGGCGCGGTCAGGTGTTAGAATGATTTGTGACCGCTCGCCCGCGCCCGCCTCTGATGTCCGACAAACGTCATGCTGGGTGACTGCGCCTGATATGCCGCGACACAATATATTTTTCTATTCGTCTAATATCTCATATTATATTATATAATATTTAAGTCACATAATTTTTGACATTGCAGTTATTGCTTTACTTTATAGAATTTTGAACTCTAAATTCTAAAGTCGACACAGATAGTTGAGTTTAAAAAAAAAACATAGCAATATATATTTCCCCTTCGCACTTGTCATTAAATTAATATTATTTATGTTAATATTCCAATTGCAATACACCCTCGTAAACTCGAAGGAAACGTTTCGACTATACTGAGTCGTAAAACGATTGTTGAACAAGCGAAATAACAAAGCAAAGTGCACTACGTAATAAACTATCAAATAAAATCTAGCTCCGCATACAAAGCTAGTGAGCACCACTTTTAATTGGGGGTTGGGAATTGTGATTAATGCCATCAGATAAGTGAAATGCTGGCACGAAGCGAGAAAAAAGTATACCAACATTGAAAACCCACACATTAACCTAATTCGTTTTAATTGTGCAAAGCTAATCATTCGTAAAGTCTAAGTAAGGCAATAAATGTTTTTGTTTATTTTAGTAGGCGATGATTTATAGTGTAATGTAGGCGGCCTCGGCTCACGGCATTGCGTGAAAATGAACGCATATTTAATATGCCATATCATGTGTCAACACCTTATGTGGGCCAGTATGTTTGTAGGCAAATAATTGATATCACGGTAAGGAATAAAAATATTATTACGAAATTGTTAAAAATTAAAAGAGAGACGTTTGCGTTATTATTACTATGTTCAGAAGCGACTTGAAGGTGAAACTGACATTAAACAAGCCCACGACGACGCAAATCCGCGAAGGTCCACTGACTACTTGGCTGGCGGCGATCCTAAAGGATTTGAAAGAAATTGACCTTGACGAACAAGACTACAAAAATCGTGCTGTCTGGAGAAAGGGCTAGGAAGGCCGACACCAAATAATTGGGAAAAGGAATAGATGGATGATGGGAATGTATGTTGTCTATTACTTTGCCAATGCCAATACTCGAAACTTTACATTTACATATTTTCTTGATTAATAACAACAATTTAAAAAGAGCTGTATATTCAGAATTAAAAAAATTATTTCTTTTAGCTAAATATTTTACAGTGTTTTTTAACATTTGAGTTTTTATAAGCTTGTGAGTAAAATCTCACAAGGTGAATCCTATCATAAATTAACCCCACTTTGTTTTCACTCCAGTATTATTAATAACGAACATTTTAAAATAATTAGACAATAAAATAAATATATGGATCAACTGTTAGAAACTTAAAATGCACTTTCTTCTAATGTATTATAATAGTATACATTTGTATAACTGAGGACATAAATGACTTCTATGTGCAATTTATTAAAGGATAAATATTTATATACATATATTTATTTACACAATTTTACATATAGCTCACTCACTCATATTGCAATACTACGGCTACAAGTTACTATTAAGTACGAAAATGTATACTTCTTGCTAATACTATAAATGCAAGTGTTTAGATGGATGGATGGATGTTTATTAGAAGATATCTACAGAACGGCTGAACAAATCTCGATGAAATTTGATTGTAGATCAAAGCCTGAAAGAACACATAGGATAATTAAGTTTATTTTTAACTCCCCGCGGATAGAGTCGCGTGTGACATCTTCTTCTTCTTCTTCTTGAGGTGCCTCTCCGACTAGCGAAGGGTGGCGATCAGTTCTCCATATTTTCTATAATATATGTGTGACAAATAGTTAGTCAATAATAATGAAAGGCTGCTTTAAAGTTTCTACTTATATAATTTAGCTATTTAAACGGATAGCATCGCACTATTTCTTTTACACTAAATCAACCCCCATACATTTGTATTTAATGTAAATACTGTAGTATCTCAAAGGTGCAAATCATAAATATAAAAACATGCACTTTACCGTTCCAACACATTTTTCTAGCAAAATAAAGCAACATTTCATAAGTATAAATACGCACACCTAGTACTAACGATTTATAAAAACCGTCACATAAATAACAACTATGACTCTTGCATTTCACCGGAACCATTATTCGCGGAATATTAGAATTAAACAATATTTTGCAAGAATACCGAAAATAATTCAAACAGAAGCACGTAGAGCCTAACAGAGCTTGTAGTCACGAACATTACAAATAAGGCTCCTGTATAAGTAACCACAAAAACTTTTTTTTTTGGTATCGGGGGGGAAATCTTCGTAAGATACCCTGCCTTTTGGGGAAAAGACAGGGTTATGTGAGATTCTTACTATTCTTATTATTTATATTCTTATTTACCACAAAAACCTACAAATTAAAAAAAAATGGAGAAATAAAAGAAAAAATCTATTCAATTCAACAATTCTCACTACATATTGTTCCAGTAATTTGTACCCTGTGGTAATAATGTAGCTAAAAGAATCCAGGAATTTTAAAATAAATCACAATGAAACAATTTTAAATTTAAGAAAGAAAAAAAACTGAAAGTAATTAAAACCCTTTTTTCGTAGCTGATTAATTATGAACGAATATTTTAAAAACTTTAAAGTGTTCGCTTTGGAACCCCTTTCATTTTTAATTTATTAAACGAAAAATATTTCTACTTCTTTCATCCCAATCCAAATGCTATTTTTTTATTTATCCTTAACCTACTTAAACATTATTCAATCATCCTATATTTGTTATTATAAATTATAAAAAAAACGTCGTAGAAAATTTAATTCGTGTATATAGTGGAAAGCGGATTTTTTTTTATGTTGCAAATGGTAGCGCGTATGTCCAGCTTTACTAGTGCGGCATATCGTCGCATAGGTCACAAAAAGCGACTGCAAGCCGCGATATGCTAAGTGACCGAGGCGACGTTGATAACCGCAACTTGCACGGCCCTTCCCCGTCTACAATGTGTTGACATTATAGCATAATGCAGTAATACTTTATAAATTCTTTGTTAGTACAAATGTAGTCATTATATTAACATAATTAATAGTGTAGAAAATATATCTGTATAAATTAATATGACGTAGAGTTGCGAAAACCGTAGCCCCATACTATTATTTTCGTGTCACAAGAAATTAATTCTAACAATTTTCCGCAACGAAGCCGTTTAAATCAGAACACGAGTAAATCAACGAGGACCGCAAATAGCGCACCAATAATTAATTAACTCTTAATAACCGATAGCTTCGATTGTATTGCGAAAACACGACGGTATTTCAACTCGAGGAAGAAACTTGGAGCAATTCAAACAATCCATTAAACTCAAATTGTATTAGGTAAAGGCAGAATAATTGAAATATTTTTGTTTTGTAGATGAACTGGTAAATACTAGTCCTAATATCGTTACACGTCTTAGGGTAGAGTTTTTCTTCCAAATTAATATTTTTTCCGTTCATTGATTTATCACTTACTCAAGTGTTTAAAATCTGTAGCAAACTTACGAAAATATTAATCTAGTTCTTATGTTAAGGTAACCAGTTAGTTTTTTTTAAGATAAATGCTTTATTCTTTTTTCCTCTTAAAGTTCTTATCTGTAATTTGAAATGCACTCACTACTAGCGGTTACTCGCGACTTCGTCAACACAGAAAAAAAGTAGCTTTTAATATGAACGTATACATCAGCCACCTTCCCGTCAAAATAAACCCAGCGCTTTCGGAGATTATTCGGAACAAAAGCGGATTTGCGGACAGGCAAATTTTTTAAAAAATAGATTGTACGTTATCAGCAACTCTAATACATCATGTGTATAAAATATTATTTTATTAATATAATATGTTTAGATTTATTACTAATACTATAAATGCGAATGTTGGAATGAATGGATGTTTGATTGAAGGTATCTCGAAAACGGCTCTATGGATCTTGTTGATATCGGGCATAGACGTAAAACATAGTCGGTAAAAATACATTGGCTACTAATTATGAATACCGGACGGGGTCGTGGGCGACTGCTAGTTTAGAATAAAACGACAACTGAATGTATAAACATTTCAAAATAAATTAATTTTATACAACAATACAAATTCATACAGTTAGTGTTTAATGTATTTCTCATTGTTTACTCGCAAACGGTAACATAATTAAACGTTACAACTCCTGTCGCTAGAGTTTGCACAATAATGCAACCATCGCTGTTTTATTTGTGTTACCGAGTAGGGCTGCCTCTATACGAAATACTGCATTACTTCCTTACTCGAGCAAAACTCCAACTTACGTAATAAATACTTAGATTCTGTTAAAAGTTTTATGATACCGAACATATTTTCTAAAATTAAACAAGATAATATGAATGAATCTGACATAATCGTCATTAACCTGCCCTTAAATCTACGGAGTATCGGCACAGTATGTAGTATCTGCCGTCATATCTGAATTATTTACTTATTTACGCATATCCTCTGTCACACAATCCATCCATACTTTTTCTGGGTTTCCTCTACTTTGGAAACAATCCACATTCAATCTCATTCGTGTTTTGTTTATGTGTGTCATACATGACATGACAAGCATGAAAAAATATAATTTTCATTCAAGAAATGAGTAAATGTAGGGAACTATTATTTAAATAGAAGAGATTATCCCTTTTATATCGCTTTTCAGAAAAGCGACGGCTATTAAGATATGTGAAAGTAAATAAAAATAGATTTACAGCCTCGAAACATGGCGATTCCGTCCTTTAATATGGCAGCGTTGGAGTTTATTATTATTAGCCCCGGGCACGGCAACTATAAAGCGAATAGATAAGTTAGCACCAGGATGGTATTAAGCCAACCTCAAGAAGTACTACAATAAAATTAAATACCATAAAAAAACGCAACATAACGTAAACTCCATAAGATTAAAATTACAAAATTAAAAAATCTGCTCTAAAAATCTCACTACAGCATAGTTAATTTCATCCTTCGACTTAATCTATCTAGAAATAATCTATTTTTTCATTGCTTTAATCTGGTTTATGAATATTCTACCGATTTACAGCCAAATAATCTGTGGTGATAATCCGATTAAGTGAACTATTATTATCACTATTTTTATCAGATGAATTAAATAGAACAAAAACAGTTGGTGAGAGTTCTCTTTAGAATAATATGAAGATAATAATCAGTTAATCCATTAAGGAATCACAAAAGTGTTTTAATTTAATATAATTAAATAAACTCACGATCGTTTAGATATCATTTGTAACGTTTGCATTGGCGTGAAGCCCGTATTGAACCAACATGGCGTCACTGAAGTAGGAAAGTCTGAACAAACACACATAGCGTGCGGTGGCAGATAAGGCGCGTCATAAGAGTGGCCGCTTGCCGCTCGGTCACCTCGCTCATTACTTTATTGTTCACCCGACCATATACTAAAGGAATAAAAAAACTTTATCAATAGTAAATTGCGTACGATCCTATTATTCGAACAATTTTTAGGTTGTCGTTTTAGGCTTCTGGCAAACTTTCAATTTTTTTCATGTTTGTCAAATTACTTGACAGTTAAGCAGTGGCACTCTTTGTTACTTTTGTCCTTGAAAAGGTCTGGATGATCTTGAATGATTTTGATCAAACAAATTTGACAATAAATTTGATCGCTTGTCGGAATCTTTACATCCAATTTAATTAATTACAACTAGAATTTTTCATAAAATTAAATCTGTAAAGAAAGTAATTAAAAAAGAAAAATCATTTTTTGTATATTTGATAAGTCTATAACAAAACTATTGAACAAGTGCTATACTTAAAACATTAAAGATTATGAAACAGAGAGCAAAGGAATATATGGCACTTATATTTTTGCATTTCGCATGTCCAATTACGATAAAAGGCGTGAATAATTCATAAAGGGTGGCTTAATTACTCATGATAATCACTTCGGTCCTGTAGCATTGCGTGGGGTATTAACGTCGCACGATTTTGATAACGCAAAAAAATTCGGCTATTAAATGTAACGTCATATATTTTCATTTAATTCCTCATGTTTTACGACCAGTGTCGGGACGACCTGGAAAAGGATACAAAATTTAACTAGTAGTTTATTTTTAATTTTAAAGCTTCATTGTCAGCTACCATCAACAGCCTACAAGTTAAGGTTAAGGGTGATTAGGCTATAGTCAACCACGCTGGCCCAGTGCGGTTTGTTCGACTTCACACATCTCTTTGAATTTCTTCGCATATATGTGCAGGTTGCATTACGATGTTTTCCTTCACCGTAAGAACGTCGGATAAATGTACATATGTAAATTGGAAATCGAAAAACATATTGGTACATGGCGGGATTCGAACTCAGGACCTGCAGATTGCGAGTCAAGTGCTTGACTTCTGATTAAAGCTTATTGATCAAATAAATTTGGCAACTCATATACTGCAAACTAAAAAAAACATTTCCTAAAAATTACATTGATTTAAGAAATACGACGCCTAATATAATAATTTCTTAAGTTGTCACTTTCAAAAGTATATCAAAGGGTTTACAAATTAACTTTTGGTGGTTAATAATTTTGATGTAATAATAAAACTAATGAAATGAAAACACTTGAATTGGCTCTGTTACAAATTGGGCGGGCGACTTACAAAGGCTATTGTCTTTTAGTTTGTTCAACGATCGACAAAATATTTGCGTAATTAACAACGAGTTAATCAATCAACTTACTCGCTCGAGAAAATGGAGTAAGGGATCTTTTGTTAATATTGTGATATAATTATGTGCACAATCATAAAGCAAGTATGGATATGTGTACTTGACAGCATTTAAAAAGACTAATCGTGGGTTTCCGAGATCAAATTCACCGTTTAAAAATTAATCTCTCAAATAAAACAAAAAAAAATTATAATAATTATAAATCTATGTTGGAAATGAAAAAAAGTGCTATAATGTTTTCGTACAATAAGAAATAAATTTCAAAAAGCAGTAATAAATATATTTTCCGCGAATATTAATTAAGGTGTAGCTGCAAAACAAAAGTAAAATTAACAGCCAATAACATTTTTATTCTGTCATAATACGTATTATGATGGAATTTCAATCGACCCAATTTTCCATGGCGTCGGGCGAAATGGAAAAATAACAGCGAAACTAATTGGAGCACTCCTGGTAAAACCCCTTTCATTTGGTTTTCAAGTAATCGGGCCTAATTTAAATGGTTTGCTCCGACGGCAATTTTCACTGCATTCATTGGAGAAAAAAAATAAGCGAAATGAACGAGAATGTTTATAATTTTTGAGCAAATCCAATTGTTTTAAAATACTTAATAAATTATTTTAATTTTAAACTTAAGTTCAATTTAATAATAAACGTTTGTATTAAATGTTTTCAACACGGTAGAAAGTAAATCCATATTTATCGTTAACGAATAAATTCATGAAAAATAATGAAACATTAAAACACGTATACGAAGACAATAAAACTTTAAAGATTAAGTTCACTAAATTTTGGGACTCAAATTTAAATTACGTATTGCATCCTTACGCCTCAAATACAGAATACTGTCCCACCCCATTAGGGTAACTCGGTTTTGGTTTACTTTATTTTGTTCATTATAACTCTGTTATCAAAAGTCGACGTTTGACTGGTATTGCGTGCGGACGGCTCACGAGACCGAATTTATAAGATTTAGTTGGGAAATAAATTAGCTGCGACGCAAAAGTTTTCAGTAAATAAGAGGGGTCCGATGCAATGAATGAGGAAATTGTGTTGTAATTTTTGATGTGGTATATTGTAAATCGAACACGGAATTGAAATTGACTTACATTTAATTTTAATAAGCAATTTAATTCATGATACGTATTATATTTTACGTTATTGTTTTATATATTTTTGGGTATCCGTGGTCCCTTCATGTACACTACACGTTGAAAGCGATAATATTTAATGCCTTCTTAAAATTTTCGCCTGGATTACTTCTCGTTTGAAATAAAAGGATGAATAAAATTGCTTTCAATGCCATATCCAAGAGTAATTTTTAGGCTCGATGTTGTCCGTTGTCCCAGGGCCAAGTCAAGTTTCCACGTCTTAATCGCCGCCAGCGAGCTGATTACAAGCCGAGCATTTTCTTTGGCCGTCACTAAATGAGTTGCTTTTTGTCGTACTCAAAGTTTTATATAAAAATAACCTTGTAAAATTAGGTTGGTTATTTATTAACAATTTTAAAGGATAATCTCATAATATGGTATTTATATTACTATTAAAAATAACCTACTGACATTTAAGGCAAATATTAAATTTTAAAAATAGTTATCGTCTATAATACACTATTTACTTAGCCATTTTAACAAAACAAAAAAACTGACACTTGTATAAAATATAAAAAAACACTACATACATAAACAGAAATTAACAAAACATCAGGCTAATTAAAAAAAGAAAACCCGAAGAATAACATTGAAATTAAAATTTCATCCTGTTATTAACAACGCGAGTGCAATTCTGAAACGTGTTGGAAAAATTCAAAGCAATCTGCATTCTAGCGGTAGTTTGTGTTAAGTGCATGTTTGAGTATTCATTCTTAATCCGGATTCCCCACATCCTCTTTGCTATCTTTTTGGCAGCGGAGCCTAATCTGCAGCCGAGTTTACGGCTCGCCTTCTTTAAATTGTATGCATTTAGCTACTCATTACTCCTGCTATATTTGCATTAGAAAACAACAGAGATAGCGTCCTCTTTGCTGTTGCGGCTTTCTTTGTTGGACAATTGGAATTTGAATAAATGTAAATTCGGTTAGATTACACCGCTCGTGTAATGTTAACTGCGGTCGCGTAGATTTCGTTGATATTTATTGTGCCATAATACATTCTGGAATGTAAATCTTAGATAAATAAATTAAAAAAAAATTAACAACATGTGAATTATTATAATAATCGATATTTAAATTATAAATATAAGGGACCAAGTACCTACTCGTTAAAAAATGAACATATCATTAATACTTACAATATGTAAAGCAATTTTTTTCTTTTTTCTAAACTTAAAGGGCTTTCTTCTAAAATATAATTAATACATTTCAAAGTGGTTTAATAGTAAAATTGAAATCTAGAATTGATTAAATCTTTGTTCAGTACAGTGATTGTGTTACAATATCACATTCAAATAGGTTACATTTGCATGTTCTAAAATTAAAGCATAGGTATTCTGAGGGGTCATTCAAATTTAAATTTTCGCTCTCTCCAACAAATCCCTGGGGCGAGGGCTGCTTCGAAGGGGAGAGAAGGCTAATAAAGTAAATTAAAGATTAATAATATATTGTCCAAATATAGGTTTCCCGATACAAGTATGTAAATCAAGCCGAACCCCCGTGAAACACGATATATCTGCTTCCATTGAATTAGGAACGACGTGTCACTGAAAGATTGCCGTAATGAAATATTAAAAAAGAGCTCTTTAGTTTTAATATCAGTTGAAAACTTTTAATCTTTCTTTGTAGTGCGATTTTTAAAGTAATTAAAGGATTAGATATTAAGCATTCAGCTCTGCTTTTTACAAGTTTAAACGAGCAAGCTATATTATCTGCTAATAATTTTAATTAAAACATTTAACGGCGTAAAATCCAACACTAATTTAATTTTAGTGTATAATAAATCTGTATTTCGAAAAATTCTCACAGAAACATTTACACGTGAAATATTTGGGGTAAGTTAAAAAAATAAGATGAACGGCATACTTCACTGCTGATTTTTACTTTTAGGACATTTCCAAAATTATTATTGACTGTTCAGAAATTAAAATTGTAACTCTAATACGTTAGCAATAAGGTTTTATATTTGAAAAAAAATATTTTAAGAAACGAATATCAGTTCGCTTGATGCGTTTGGCCACCAGCGGACATAGCACCTGTGAAATTCGTCTATCTCAGGGAAAGATTCAAAAGCCGCGCCGTCCGACACTTTTTAAGGGGACCTTAAAAAAATAAAGTCCACGGCGTTATTTTAATTGACGTCAGGGTGCCATTAAAAAGAACCTTTTCCGAATAAATTATTCGAAAGCTGCTACTGGAATGGGAAATATTTGGCCTTGGTTCCGTGACGGTATGTCTATAACTCAAAGCCGTTTTTTAAAGAGGCGTTCAATGCAATCCAAAATAAATTATTTCGAATATAATACCTCAACACTGACATAATGATAATAAATTATTATATTAACATTAGGTTGTAAAGTAAAACATTTTGGTATATGGAAGGGATCTGACCTGGAAGTTATAGATTTCAGCCCGGTCCGGTCAAGCGCTTAAAACCAAAGCTCCATATGACAACTGGAATTATGGTTTTCTACCATAAGTTGTTTTCTTTCTGGAAAGTATGATATACATTTATGGTGATTAAATGGTATTTTATATGGAAGTAGCTCCAATAATCCAGTTGATATCAGCTTCAAGTCCCGAAACATTATATAAAGACAAATAAAAGAAATTGGTAATTTAAAAGCAAACATGAGACGGTAAAAGGCAACTAAAAGGGACCACTATCGTTCAACTCTTAAGGACATATCACTCGTAAACCGATACAATAAGGCGACTTTATCGGGCAGAATTAATAACTGGGCGTATTCCTACAAAGTTATAGCGTAACAAATAAAAGTAGATTGTCATTTTTATTATTATTCGTATATGTCTCTCAGTCAGACGCACGGACGACTGAGCGTAATCTCGGGACGGTATTAAGAAAGTTATACGAATCTTAAGCGTAGAGGAAACTAACTTGCCTCCGAATATTACTTTCACAAAAACTTTAAGGGCAATGATAAGTTTTACGTGTTTACTTTCTTCCTTTATTTAGTGAAAGAATTCATTTGTACTTATAATATCTCAGTTAATATCACACGAAATAAGTCCCCAATCACATCGAGAACGACAAAGTCCTAATTTTATTCGTAGAATTATGTACACTTTAGTAATCTTACTAATATTATAAATACGAATGTTTAGATGGATGATATTTGTTAAAAGGTATCTCCAGAACCGTTGCATGGATTTCGCTGAAATTTGTCACATGTAGAACGTAATCTGGAAGATCGCATATTTATTGAGTTTTTTTTTTAATGCCAGCTAGTGGGTTATATTTCTTGCAACTTAAACCGAAACTTATTTAGGATCTATGAATAGTTTAGGTAATGTAGCGTCACGAATATCATTCATTACGTAATAGCCCATAAGTCCAATACAACTACTTAACATTATAGACGACAACTTAAAATAAGCGAAGAAAAAGCAATTAAAATGATTCACTTACTTCTTCAAAAGAGCTATTGGTATTACTAAGAATAGCTGACAGCCAATTAATGTTTTAAATTTTTATATAAATTTTACTTATTTCTTTTCAATAAAAATACAAATTAAGATGAAAAATACGAGGAATATTTTTTTATCTGAAATGTAATAACTAGACTGTAACAATAAATTTTCAAACAGTTCAATGTTAAACCTATTAGAAACTTTTTAATACATTCTCGTAAAATATAGATCGTCAAACGTCAATGATAAAATATTCCGTCTAGACTGGATCAGAGTGAAAGTGAAAACTTTTTAAAGTACCCGAGAGACCGAATTTAGGGGGCGTTACGAGTTTGGAAATGTCTAGTGAGAGAAAAAAATCTCGAAACAAATTGTTGGCAAACGAGGAAGTGTCCGAAATACAAAATATGTTGATTGAATAAAGAAAACTATTTAAAGTTTCACAAATAAGGATTTTATTTGAATTTCCATAATACAGATAATATAATTTTTAGAAATTTTACTGGAAACCTACTTGATAGTAAAAGAGCGCTTACCTGTTTCTCAATTTTTTGTGAGTTAATAAATCTTAGAAAAATAATTTAAACAGACCAAAAGTATGTAAAAACCGGATGCTTTTACTAGAACCTATTTTGTTAACAATTTCCACATTATATTGTTGCTAGATTAAACACAAAATGCATTTAATATTGTAGTGAAAATATTTATAAATTATAATGAAATTAAGCTGAAAGCGGTGATTTTCAACGCCAGCTTCACGCTATAGTAGCATTCGTTATACTTGTTACAGCGTTAATATGCGTGAAGGTGCAAACTTGACAGCGGCGACAAGCAAATATTTAAAAAGAAAATGAACCAGCTTTGATATGAGGAGCTGTAATTTTAATTGAAATATTCCTCTTTTCTCCTAAAGTCAATTTTATTTTATTTAAATATATAATTTAAACATGTTTGAGAAATAATAGATTTATATTTTGACCGTTCATTTGGATTTCGTCGATATTAAAAATTCCTGTAAATGAAATGTAGCCGTAATATTCATATAAATAAAGAGAACAAAATGGCGGTTGATTACGTCGACTGTTGATTGTATCGCTTTTTATAGATTCGATGTTCATTTGGCAATATATGAAGATAAATTGCCAGGTAAAATACAGCTATTGGAATGGAAAGAAGTAAAAATCACCGTCAGATCGTTGCTGCGGGCTCGTGACTGAAATGCCCAATGAGTAATTTTGAGATACTTCGAATGGGTGCGCGGTGAGAGAGCAAATGTCAGCGTCTAATAGCATTGCAGACATGTTAGGACGCCACCGCGCCGCAACGGCGACGTATCGAACTTACTCGTATTTTCTTGTCGCAGACTACTTTTTTAGTCGTGTTATCTTCAAAAGAACGTAGTTAATTACAAGTTAGTAGCATTTATAGTAAGTTGTGGCGTTTAAACTACGTTAAATTATTATTATAATACAATGAGGAAATTCATTGTCACGGACGGGACGAAAAACTTCGTTTACATTCATCTTTACCGTCAAGTAACAAAATACTGTGAAAGATAAATTGTTACTTAAAACTCCATATGCAGCAATTTTTTTAGAAATATTTCCATTTAATTAGTTGTATTAAACGAAACTGTACAAAAACGATTAGTCTCACGTCATAGACGACGCGGCGTTCGGAAACGAATGCGTTTTTGAATATGATGAATGCACGCCCCGGCCATCTGTTTAGAGACGCTAAGCAAATAGCGGAACAGATTGTCACGAAACTAACAAATTTCAATATAAAAAAATAGTCCCAGCCCACGGCCGAAATGATTTATAATGTTATTTCGGATACTTTCGGAATGTTTATTTAGAAGTCGGGCAGACGCTTGTCGGTGTCAGGTTTCGTCGCTACCGGCGTAGAGCGCAAAATAAATACACTAACAAAGGTAATCTCAGTGTTTTGCGAGAACTTGATTGGAGATGTTATACTCTTTAATTTTAATTTTGGGTTCTTCTAAGAGTAGATAGAGAATAGACATTCAACACGCAACGCGTCACCATGTCAAACATGGCGCTATTTGGACTTGAATATTTATTCCAAACTTTCGTCACTGTGTTATTTAAGTTGTCAAAATTTTTATTCTCGATCTAAGAAATATTTCATTAATATAATGCCGTGGTAAAAACCTCACATCGTACATCATTTGTGACAGAATCCGTCTACGTCGTTACTTTGACAGCAACACTTACCGCACGTGGCTGACTGTGTCGCGCGACAAATCGACCGACCAGTAGCACGAGTGTCGGGTTTCTTAGCTGCCATTTTCTCGACGAAGTAGTTCTAAATTGAAATACTAGCTTTATCGAGAATACCTTAGATGTGGACACGTGTAAGGGAACTAATCGAGTTCCGCCTCGTGCGTTTGTTTATTTGTTCTCGAGTGTTGTTTCAATGGCCCGTATGGATTATATTGCCTAGTAATCCAAGTTTTGATCCGACCTATATCACTATGAACACTACTCTTCCAGGATCTTGAGAATCGATCTCGATGACAGTACTATTACGTGTTTTTATTTACTATTACAAATTTATTTCTACAGATTTTAGTGAAATTAAAAACATTTCTATAAAATTATTCCAATAAATATAAAGTTTACTTTTATCTACAACCACTATTTTTATTAACTACCAATTTACAGGCAAAGTATATTCAACAGTGATAACTACAATGGAAATGAATTTGAATTGTAGTAGTAGATAAATTGAATTTCAAATAAAATATTGTAAAATGCAAAACGAAGCAATATTTGTTATTTAAATAATATTATATCGATACTTTATTGTGCGGGACACAGCGTGATGCGGCCACTGAATGATACAAGCGACACTAATGTTGTCATAAATATACACTTATAAAGAGCTATGTAAATATAGAAAGAAAAATATTTACTCTAGTCTTATATTATGACTTGTACAATATGTATGAGATATAAACCGAAACAAAACAGTTTCATCAAAAAATACTATACCACACTTAACCAAGAAGGGCTAGTAGATTCGCATTAACTGATGTTTTGAGCTGTTTCATAGTTACTTGATATGTTATTTTATTATCACAACTAAAAGTTATTCAAGCTCTAATACGTATAAGTATTCAGACGTATACGTATGAATATAAGATTACATATAAATTCATACAACAAGTCAGCTGAGATCTTTTAAATAAATGTTCATGTTATGCATATCTCGTATAGTTAGTGAGGAAATTTCCTTACAATAAACTTTAACGTATTGCTCAATAAACAGAATCGTTGTAGCTAGAATTATCAATTTATCACTCGGAAGACATCGATGCTAAATACTGCTAGGGCTTGCGTATTTGCATAATCATTAAGTATCGAACGCAACAGTTCCCGGCGTCGGAAATCTTCGTAATAATGACGCCCTTCCTCCAGTTGTAATAAGGGATAAATCGCCTTGAAAATTGACACCCGTGGCGATATTTCGCATTAATTCGAAGGCGAACGTTTCAGCAAATTGCCTCTCTATATGCAGAATGCGACGAGGCCGATTTTCATTAACTGCTAAAACTTCGTCCTCTGGTGGAGGATGAGTGGTCGCTCCTATGACTACTACAAAATTACGCTTAGCTTATTTAATTACTACTAAACTGCATTCCTTCTCACCAACGCATAATTACACATTCAAAAATATACAATATCTTTTTTTCCGCTTTGGGGTAGCGTACAATAAAAAGACTCGACAATCTAAGTAATATTTTTACATAATTAAAAGGCGTTTTGTAATTTATTAACACTGTCAGAACGTGATGTGATCTTTTTGGTTTAATTATAGCCTATCAAATAGCTAGAATTGTCATATATTGTTTTATTTATTATAAATCTGATAACAACGTAGTCGAAGTTAAACATTGCAACAGAGACCCAAAACAATTGACACAACATCTCTCGTCACTTTAAAGCTGTGAACACTTAATGTTTTAATTAAGAAAATGTGCTCTGGGTGGGCAGCGGTCGTCGAGAGCATTTGACCGTCGCTTAAAGTTGTAAACTGCGTTTAAGCAAATTATCCATGCAAAATTCCTTGCCCTTTAGAGCCGTGAAGTGTGCAAAACGTGAGTAAACTAGAACCAGGGGCGTCTAAAGTCATGTTTGATATTAAATTTTGTCATAACACCGTCTGCCGGTCTTTGTTCTAGTACATTGATTTTTATTATTGATTTTTTATGATGCCGTCATTTCTGTATCGTTGTACATAAAGTTATTTAATATAATAATATAAGCTTACTTTTATAAACTGGGTTTAGTGAAGTTTCTCTATTAGAAAGATCGCAAATTTATGAACTTACAAGGTATTTGTGGCGTATGCTTAAATACAATCTCATTGGCAACTCTTCAAGTAAGTTTTATTGCCAATAGCTTTGTGTTAAAACGTAATAAGCAAAATATAGACTTAAAATATTACTGTTAAATTAACTACCACATTTCCTTAGTTGTTTTATCTTATAAAATTCAGTAATAATTGTTTTTAAATCATACGTTGTATAAACCACAAATAATATTGTGTTACTAAAATAACACAGGCAATTAAAAAAGTGCTTATAAAAGAAGAGTGCTCCCGCTGCGCGACCCTTACAAATTATGGACCCGACCGCGTTTGCTCCGTGCGCGTGAATATTGTAAAGTGCTTATGTCACACCTTTCGATACTGATTTCGTCTCATAACATAATAGACCACCCTGTCATGAATGGGCACGAGTGTATAGAAATAACTAAAGGGGTGACATAATGACCTAATATAAGCTTCTGTTATTATTTTGTGGTACATAAAGTTTTATTATAATATCTTATAGAAAACCAGCGAACAAAGACTACCGCAAGTTAAGCGGATTATTTGAAACACATATTTTTTCTTGAATTTAGCCAGTCCTTTAGGTTTATAAAAGCCTCTACATACAGTTGGTGATTTTGTTTTGTGCAATTAACAAATAAAAAAAAACGTCCATCAATTTTAATACGCGCATTACAAATTCAGCTATAAGACACCACAATAAGTAAAATTAGATAGTCATTAATACAAATCCATCGGGGATCAAACCCATGACCGATATTTATACCATAAACTGGTATATATTTACACAATAGGGCATTAAATTACAATGAATGCGTCCCCGCAATGAGAGGTACTAATATAAATGGCTGTTTAAAAATTCAAATGTGTACCATAACAGATGTCCAGCCCTCCTCAACTCTCAACGATATGTCACGAGGACAGAACATTGGCAAAAAACACGCGAAGGGCGGGCGACCACCAACAGTACTCCTAAATCAGTGGAATCCCTCCTTAATCCCTTGCCTCGTATATTATGATTGTCGGACTTAAGTTTTACATACGACTAATACCGAACATGTGGCGAGGATGTGCCAAGTAATGGCTGATCAAAAAACTAGAGCTTAACTTTTGTAACGTATCTCCTGCGGGATGGTAACGTTATCTTGGGCGATTATTCGTTAAGCGAATTCGAGTCTTTAAAGGTTACTGTGAAACACTTTAGAGTGGTCTATTGATGACAAATCAGCTCTGTGCCTAAAACTGCAACTATTTAAAAATATACAAATAATATCTACAGGATGTTCTCAACAACGTAAA